AATCAAGTGGTTTATCTAGGAGTCCTTACACAGTGGTGACTGCTGAATGGTATAGTTGTTTCTTCAATAAACTCAAGAAGTGAGAGAGTCCCTTTCTAACCAGGTAGGAGCATGTGATGGACAGACACATGACCCTTTGGATGTGGGTTTCTTGGGAGGGGGGGAATCACAAAAAAATGTAGCTAGTTATTCAGTGCTGGAGAATCACAGGGTGCACTCTACATTTCTGTCCCAGGTTCTTCTGCAGGCATCAGAGGCTGCTGGGAGGGAAGACAGTAATCCCACTCCAGCTTCAGCTCCCCACTGTCCACACAGGGGAGAGCCCTGGCCATGTCATCTCAAGACTTTTGAAGCAGTCCAAAGCTCTAACAGATTGTTATGTTGGCTGAATCTAAGCATACCATCTGTGTAAATCAGATGGACCTAAACTGATGAATTTAGCTGGTGATATTAGGTATGCCTGAGTTTTTTCAACTTGAGGTCTTCTGAGACAGTTTCTAAGCCCTGGAGGGCAGCTCCCCCGTGTGTTTCAAATTTAATCTTCCAAGGTCACTTAAAAAGCAAACAGAAAAAAAGTGGTATCTACTTTTTGCCTTTAAGAACTGAATTTCATCTAGTTGTCAGAATGACACCAATATTTGGGACCTACTGTGGCATCAAACAATTTCCTCTGTGCTATGGCAGCCTGTAGGTATTTATCTTTGAACTTGAGTGCAATTGTTGCAGGTTTAGGTTTGTTTGATTGGGTTTTATTTTTAATAGAGAGAGTAGGCCTGAGCTGAGAAGTCTGTATCCATCTGTCTATTCTGTGGTATTCCCTTTCCCTGAAGTGTCTGAGTGTTGATGTTTAGGTTGATGTTTAGGATGATCTTGGATGCTGAGCAAAGTTTATTAAGATGTCCCTTGCAGTACATAGCAGTTTTCCTTCTTTGCTAGTCTGAAAGCTAGGAATAAAATCAGAGACCTACAATTCTGAGTCCTGGAACATCCAATGTGTATAAGATGAACAATGACTGGTGCTGGGCTTTTGTTAATGTGGGAACTCAGATATCTTGGAATCTGCACCCATGTTTTGCATGTCTTTTCTCAGTTGTTGTTTTTTTAAATTGTGTTTGAAATAATAAGTTTTCCCAAACTGTGTTGTCATCATTTCAAAGTCCAAGGGCTGGGACCAGCATAGTCCTAGATTTAAGTTGATGTTATTTTGGTTCCTGAAGCTAATTATATCAACAACCACAAAACCAAATGTCCCCAACCTGTTGTCTGCTTCATTTCTGTGGTTAAAGACAGCAATGAAGGGTCAGATTTTCAAATGAACTTGAGGTGACTAAAACTGTGTTTTCAAATGAAGGAAGGGAATTAAGATCCGTAGATAGTCTGGATTTTTGTGAATGTTACCATCCATTTTTGTGGCTGATTTCTGAGGCTGAATAAAGTCTGCTGAAATTGGTGTAAATGTGGCCATTGCTTTAGCAGGATCTGTGTGTTCGCATCACCACACAAACAATGCCTGTAAATACTGGCCACAAAATGTCTCGGAGTTAGCTTGGTAAAAAAACTGAAGTTCTCTTTTTGTTTCAAACAGTGTTTGAAGAATACCAGAAACTGGCTGGTAAGAGCATAGAAGACTCTATCAAGAGTGAAACCAATGGGTCACTTGAGGAGGCCATGCTGACTATTGGTAAGAGTGGTGATGTTTCCCTTTGCTTAATCTGTGTCTGTTGCCTTTTCTCCTGCAGTATTTTACTGTTATGAGATGGATCTATTTTATAAAGGTATCTGGTAGGAAGTAAAGGGGTACCTCTTAGGTAAGATAATCTCAGATTTCAGGGGCTCTCTTAATGTCTTGGTCACCTGTTGCCCTGGGCTGCAATTACTATTGATTCTTACTGAGCCTTTTTGTATGCCTAGTGAAATGTACCAGGAACGTCCATTGCTACTTTGCAGAGAGGCTGTACAATGCTTTAAAGGTAAGACTCTTCATTGTAGCACACTTGTTTTCATACTGGACTTAACTTGTAGCCTGGCTTCCAATAATTTCAGCTAGAAGAGCCAAGGTTTTGGTGACATTCAGCAACCTTAGTTCAATTGTTGCAAGTAACAGCAGAAACCTTTCAAATACCTTGGGTAGAAAACTGCTCTTTAAGCTTAAGATACTAAGGGAGCCTGGCCTTTCTGGCTTTTCTTTTTAGGAAGCAATTCTCTCAATGACAGTATAAAATGAGAGTTCCAAATGGGGATACAGAAGGCATTTGCAGATTGTGCCCCTGTAATGCTTAACTGATATGTAACAGATGTCAACTCTCCCAGCTTTGTGGAAAGCTAACTGATTTGTTTTGTTATCAATTTGCTCAACAATATTGGTTGAAGTCAAACATTCCATGGGTGATGCTACAGAAGGACAATTGTTTTCAGTGCCAACTTCCAACTCTGTAGCGTGGTTGATTTTGCCTTTGACATGTGCAAAACATGTAGCATGCTTCCATGGTGGGCTTGTGGTGTTGATGGTGCCCTCTGGGAGGGGGGTGGGAGTTGGCTGTCCAGAAAGAGATGCAGATGTTCTGCAGAACATGTGCCAAGTGGTGCTTGAAAGCTGAATCCTTCTGTCCTGAACTGGTTTGAACAGCTTATCCCTTGAACACCCACTAACATCAGGCTGATCTATTTGTTATTTCAGGGAGCTGGCACAGATAATGGGACTCTTATAAGGGTGCTTGTTTCTCGAAGTGAAGTTGACTTAAATCTTATAAAGCCTGAATTCAAGCGTATTGCAGGACAACCTCTCTCTGCTATGATTTCGGTAAGCAGCATCATGATACGATGGTTATTAGCCTTTACCTGTATTCCTAACCTGTCCAGTACTGTAGGATGCTTCCATGGTTGTTTGCAGTAAAAATGTCATTTCTGCTAAGATCATAACTCTCCTTCATTAGGCCTATTAACAGTCATATCTTGAGAGACATACATGCCTCAAAGGTGAATCAGATTGTGTGTTCTTTAAGTAACTAGGGTAAAGCAAACCCAAGGAGAGACTTCTCCAAGTTTTTCATGGACCAAACTCTGCATCCATGCACTGCATCGTCTCCTAGATGAATTTAAATTAAATGAATGATCCCTGTTACACCTTTCCCACACTGCTGTGCCATTTTCTCCTGTTTCTCTGCTGTTCTTAACTACCTCAAGTCAGTGCCATATAGGTCAAAACAGTGCTGTATTTGGGGTTTTTTGTTGTTGTTGCTTGCTTGATTTATTTTTAGCTCACTTATCCCAGATGAAGGCCTTGCCTATACTGTTGTAAGACAGGTTCAGAAACTGAACCTTGTCAAAGCTTATTGTAGCATTTCAGTCTCAGCTCAGAGTGAATAACCCTCCTGTATTAGGGCTCAAATCCTGGTTTTTATCATTTGTCCTAAGGACTCTGGGACATTCCCCTTCCCCTGTGCAAATGGCACAGAAGCCCTATCCTTAGCAGTCCCCATAGGAAGTCTGGTTCTGTAATGAAGGCCCTTTCTTCTAATTGACACTGTCAGTGTCTGTCATGTTGATTAATGATCAGACTTCATGGGTCTGTACAGAATATTCATTCCTTTTGAGAAGTGGAACTGGCTTTACACCTGTGGTCACAAAACATTCAAAGGGAGCAATTTTTTTAATCTAGTGATATTGTGTAGGACTTCTAGACCAAAATGATCATATTTGTGGCTTTTTAAAACATCATGTGTCAGAGCTGACTATACTGCCCTTTCCCTTCCTGTAGGGAAGAGATGCTACACAAATACACAGAGACATAAAATCCGAACACAACAGGCTTGATTGCTCTCATTTGTGCTGTCTGTGCTGCTCTGTGGGACAGAATCCCGAGCAGTTGCTCACCTGCATTCCAAAGGAAAGAATTGGACTTGCTAAATGTTATTTCAGGTGGTAGCTACAAGCCTCATTCTCCATTTGCTTTTGATGGTGTGTCAGCTGGCAGTAACTCTGCTGAAGTCTGGCTTGCTCTTTCCAAAGTCCTTTTCCCGTGTGGGCATATTACACAGATTGACAAAGTCAGCACTCAGAGCATGCAGAGGAACTTACATACTCACCTATTTCTTTATTTTTTTTCTCCTGTCAGGATGACACCAGTGGCGATTACAAGACAGCCTTGATGAATCTCTGTGGCAGTGACTGACAAAATCTAGAAGAAAGATGTTGAAAAGGATACAGAGAAAATTAACAGTGAACAAGGGTCTGAAAATGTACATATAGAAAATGTTTCAATTGATTGAAGGGGGGAGAAAAAGAAGATCAAATTGATGGTCAAGACTTCCAAAGCTCTCTGAAGGATGTGGATGCTAATTACACATTAAATGCTATCCACTTCCCCAACAGTTTTCAAACACAAGGGGCAATGTTATTATTTTTTTTCATTTTGGTCTTCGAAGTTTTCCTTCTATTTTAACACATAGTGGCACTCTGACATCAAATTAAAGGTTCTTTTAAACCCTCTATAGGTGTTTGGCAAGTCTGAACAGCTCTACAAAGCTGGGTCTGTACTGAAGCCTTGCTAACTTTGCTAGGACAAACTGCTAGAGCATGGACCATTTGATGCTAGCAGGATGGGTCTGGAAGGAGTCCAAATATTGAGGCTTTAGGGCATGGGTCAGAATGGAGAATTCGATGCTGGGGGGCTGGTTTATCGTCAGCTTTATCTGCATAACTTCAGTGGGGATTCCCTAAGGAGCAATAATAAACTGGCTGCAAGCATGTGAAAGTTGAAAGCTGTGTGCCTGATTTCCTTCTTGTTTGTCTGTCAGGGAAGATCAGCAAGTTCAGGGCCTGACAACAATATCAGACTATAGGGAGAATCAAAACTGGGGTGGATGATTTGTTTTGGTGAATATAAGATACCCTGCCCTTGGGAGAAGACCTGTTTCTTCTCCTAGTTTCACAGTAACTTCACAGAAGTCAGTGCACTACCTCAGCAGTTGTCTCCAACTTCCATGCCTGCACCTACCACTTGCTGAGTGAGGCCCCAATTTGGACAGTGATACAGAGAGAACAGGATGAAATGTGTTGAGAAGCTCGAGTCTGCCTTAACCACTGGTTATCCACACAACTCACTTAAACATGTAATTACCAAAAGCTATTGTGTTCAGAAAAGGAGCCTTTAGGATGAAGTGTATGAATTTTTTGGCTGAGGGGTGGTTCCTGCTTTATGCTGCTGCAGTGAGCAGGAACAAGCTCAGTGAAAGTAGGGAGTTCAAAAGGTCTTGGGGAGTCCAGGACTGTGTCCTGGGGTCAGGGTACCTGCAACACCTCAGGTGAACATGAAAAAAGAGGAAGTTTCAATTTCTACCCCTCTGCGTGCTTCTGTGTTCAGTGATATCCAGATTTCTTACCTGGACTAAATGAGTTGGCGACATGTCTCTAGACTGAGCATCAAGGGGGGATGCTCAGTCTAGAGAGTTTCATCTCGAGTTCGTCTCAGGTTTTAAGGGCTGTGAGCCAGCTCCAGCCATCAAAGGACAGGGAATCACATGTCCCTCCTGGCCAGAGCACCCGCTTGATTTTTCGCGGGGTCGCCGATGCCCAGCCTTCCCCCGGCTGTTTAAGGAGCCGGCCCTGGCGCTGGTTTCGCGGCGGAGCAGGCCCGGGCCGGGA